TTTCAGTCTTTATATTGAATATTGTAAGAATATTGTCAAAACACATCTGGAACGGGAAAAAAGCTCGAGTTAAATATAAACGCTCCAACTAAAGAAAGAAAAGGGAGGTCGTGGGCTTCCTTGTCTACGAGAATATTACTGCGCAGCTCAGCTAAGACCACTGATATGTCTCTGCTGTCCAGATTACACCGCCGGATGGAAAGATGTTGAAGGAAAACCAGTTACAGCTTTAATATCGGACATAAAGTTACAGAACAAAACAGACATGGCAGATGAACCCATACTACAAATAATCACATCTGCTCTGAAAGAAGTCATCAGAATTTGCCTCTAAGCTTTGATGGTGAGCATGTGATTCAGATTTCCCCCCGAATCAGTACGATAATAGATTCAAGAACTGGATTTGAAAAGGTATAACTAATTATTATTCATTCGTCCACAAGGAGGCATTTCAAAGCTTTGAAAGGAGCAAACATGATTTAGGCTCAGACGACTTCTTTAGATTTCTACAGGCCAGAAATTATTTTAATCAAAACTTAAAAGTGAACCTAAACGAATTAGTTTGTAGAAACATTTTTATCATTAACCAAATCTGGAGCGCAAAGCAAAATGATTTCCAAACGATATAAGAGCATCCTGCGGTGTAAAAACCACAGCTCTCTGTATATGAAAGCAATGTGGGGAAAAGAAGGTAACCTGTCGATTACAGAGGAGTGTTGGGGCCACGCATGCATGACACAGTGGGCTACCACCGGGTCCAGTGTTTGCCGTGAGTTCTGCTGTAAAATCATTACGAGAGTTTTCATCAGCCCTGCTCAGCAAAGATATCGGGGAACTGCGACACTTGTTGGAGATGTGGGCGAGATGGAGCGAACCGTTTCCAAATCTTTTGGGATTGCAAAGTTAGTCGCCAGCACTAATCCACGAACATCTACAAAATGTGTTTTCATTTGTTTTTCCTTTAACCTTTGAGACCATATTTCTGTGTAACACACCAGTGGATGAATTGAACTCTAATGATAGAAGACTCTTGTATATACTACTGGCCACGAGTAAAAAGCCTCGAGGAAATGGCTTACGCCTGAACCACCAACGATGGAAGATGGAAAACATTCTGTACCAGAGATCTATACGATGGAAAAATGGTCATTTTCTCTTAAACTTCAGAGGGATACTTCCTACAGAATACGTTAAGCCTGTGAGGTGTAATTTTTATTTTTTATTTTATGAACCATGCTTTCTTATTTTTTTTTACGTTGAAGCCCCGAGTTAAATTCCCATGACAATCGTGTGATACTAACTTGCCTGCTGCTACTCCCTTACCCAAGTCTTTTTTCCCTCTTTTTTCTTTTCAATTGTAAGTTTAAAAATGTGAAAGCAAAGACAGTGTAAAAGTGTTCAATTGCTTTCTCTCAATAAAAGAGACAATGCAAAAATAAATAAATAAGCCTGGGGTTCATTCATGCTCATAAACCACACGACCTTTAGATCCCAGCAAACGGGTGGTTACAGATAAATAATCACGTGAGAAGACGAGATAACGACTCACAGCAGGTAACAGAGAAGACTTCCTGATGCGAAGTGTTTCCCTGTGCAGGACAGCCTCTGCTCTGAGACTCACGTCACCAAGTCTCCATAGCAACTTCAGCCAAGACGCCAACACAGACATATATCAGCAAACACCGCAGAACGACAACACCAAGAATAAACCCAGATGAACATTTCTACACTGGGTTCAAAGCCAAACTGAACCAGCGGCTCCTCAGGCCACATTTTTAAATATTCACCAGTTTTTTATGTGATAACATTTCCTGTGCACAGAGGAAGCAGCCGCTGGCCGGCGTTCTGCTGCTTCGGGTTGTGATAAACTCAGAAGAACAATGAGCCGAGAACCCTACCCTGGGCTACACCGGAGTCCCGGATACGCGGCGAAGACGTTCAACTTTCAGATAAACAACACTCACTCACAACACCACAGAAACGCTGCTCTGCTTTCACCTCAGAGGGGTGGCCAACGTTTGAGTGCAGGCTCGAGGTCAAAGCAGAAAATAAAGCCAAACTTAAAAGCAGCTTTTGAACACTGCACGGAGAGCGGGCCGGGGCCGGGGTCTTCCTGCGTTCCAGCTCTGAGCTCTCAGCCCTGATATGAAAACATTACTTTGATCATGAAGCGTCTGAAATGTGACCAGAGGGACGTGAGACACTGTGAAACTGAATCACTGTGAGATCTCTGTGGACAAACATTACACTTCAGTCTGGTGAGCGCTTTAAACATGGACGGCTCGTGCTGATGCAGGAGTATTAAAAGTTGTTTGCTGGCATCTCCACACCAGGAATAACACGGCACGTTATGAACGGAGCGATTAGCGGCTCGGTGACCGAGCAGCCGAGCGGGTCTCAGCGCTGCTGTGACTGGGAGCAAATGGGATTTCACTGCGGTACGAGCTGTAAAAACATGGCTGTGTTTCACCTCTCGAAGCACATCCTGCCTGCACGCTCTGACTGTGTGCGCGAGCTCTTTAGCAGCGTCCTGAGTCTGTGCAGCTGTCTCTCTTTGTTTGTACAACCGCAGCTCTGGCAGAGTTTCCACCTGCTGCTGTTTCTTCCTGTGTCTTTACTCAGAAAACGCTGAGCGCTCGCCGCTCGACCGCAAACAGCAAACAGCACGTTAACTGTTTGGCCTGCGACTCCAGCTGTAGCAGAGAGCCCGACCCTGGGCGATTCCACCACATTAGAGTCCTGTTAAAGCATCTGATGGTGTAATCTGCACTCAGATTTATGCTTCACACGCATCAAAGGATGTGAGATGACAGAGATGTGAAACCACAGAAAGAAAGAACTCTTCACACGTTCCCACTCGTGTTCTCTGCAGATCAACGGGAATATTTCTGCTGAGATCGTTCTGGTGCTTTAGACACATGGATCTGTTCGCGTGGAAAACACTTTGCTGTGATGAAGCAATGAGAAGTGACAGGAGTGAGACTGAAACTACGTGACTATCACAGCACGATCGTATCACGTTCTCATGAACCAGCGTCCTCGAGTTCGCTTCAAAGGCTCAAACTCAGGACCTCTGACCCGTTTGCTGCTGGATGCTGAAGGGTCAGGTCCAGTTAGCGGTGCAGGTACAGGATGGAAACTTTTTTTTATAACTGAAAACAACTGAACTTTCAAAATAAGAGCCACTCGTCACACGCATCGCGATGGCGTTCTTTGAAACTGTGAAACAACAACAAAGGTCGAACATCAGACAGACCTACGAGCGCCGACGACTGAAACCTGAAGGAATCAGATGCTAGAATAAATCGTCTTATTTTGGTGACGTGTTCAGCGTGTGATGCTCTGACTCTGAACTTACCAGAACCGACGGCAGCAGCCTCCGTCTCGGACAGATGAACCCGGTCGAGATCAGCATGAAGATGCAGAACGTGACGATGATCACCAACGAGCACAACATGCCCGAGATCAGCGGGTCTGCACGCAGGAACACAACGAGTTTAGAGGTGAACATCAGTCTCATCAGCCTGAAAACAGCAACATTTAAACGTTCACATCGTGCTACAGTACATGTAGCACTACCTGTAGTAGTACTACATGTACTAGTACTACTACAGGTAGTACTAGTACATGTAGTACTACCTGTAGTAGTACTACATG